TGTGGCTTTTGTTTCAGAGAACAGCTCAGTGCTGGCCCAAGACTACCGACTGATGACTACTGTCCTCATCTGCCACCAGGTGTGGACGGAGGCGTTGTACGTAGACATCTCACTCGCCATGGATCTCACTGAGCTAGAACCAGGCGTATCTCATAACCAGGAACCTTGCTGCATTGACCTGTGTAAACCTGTTAAGGTCTACGTGTCACCTAAACCTGTTCGACGGGGGATTTAATCCACATTCGTTTATAAGTGGGTCTCATGGGTTTTCCTGTATGATGAATGAAAATTTTTATTTTAAGACTAATCAAAGAGGCTAGTTAAAGATTTATTGTTTAGAAGGGATTTTGTTCAGAGCAAGTTGATGAAGAATCTCCAAACTAGTGTGCAGACTTCCTCTGGTGTAGACATAAGTATGAAAAAGCTCATTTTTCTCTGATTACTGATTAGGAAAAGGAAATAATTATTTTTAGATCCACGCCCAGGCCATGGTGGATGGGCAAACGGGAGGGTTAGAATGGCATCAAACTTATTTTTCAAAAGAAAAGAATTGAATTAAATTTTGCATTATTCAATAAAATTATTATTTCCTGTATGTTCTGAAAGTCAGTGTATGGCTATTTTTTTTTTAAATAAAAATTGTCTTGTCAATTTAATCTACTAGTTTTTTTTCCTCTGCTAATTCAAATCTGAACAGTAAATCTAAACTGGGTACAGTTGGCTATAGTTCGGCCGCTTAGAAAGCGACCTGCGCGCTAATGCTAACCAATGCTAGAGGAGGTCGCTTTCTAAGCGGCCGAACTATAGTAGTCAATTTCTCTGTTATACTTAGTATCAAAAACATCTGTGTTAGACAATCCTCCGTCACCACGGCAACGTCGTGATCATCTTTCGCGACCACAGCAATGTCATTATCATCTCTCGCGATCATGGATGCATCGTGGTCATTTACCGCAAACACAATTTACGTGACACATTAAAAAAAAAAAAAAAACAAATGGTGAATTGTGGCAGATTGCAATGGTTTTTAAAAACTTTTATTTGTACAATTACCAACTTTTATAAGATCCACATATACCTTAAACTTACTTGTTTGCATGTAAATTTTCTTCATTTTCAATTTTTCCACGGGTTAATTAAGCTGTAAAGCCAATTTATCTTCGGTAGACTAGACGTTCCCTCTTCATTTTTAATTTACTTAAGAACATTTCCATACAGACAAACAATATTTACGATAAAGTTCAATAACAAACTTATGAGTCTTGATAACATTTAACATCAGCTGTTGACCAGCATTGTTGCAAATATTATATGCTTTCTGGTTGTGACATGTTAGTCATCGGGATCGCGGAACGGACATTAAAACAGAAACAATATGGATCAAAAACATAAAAGAATTACATCACTGGAAGGAATCTAATACTATTAATCTCTACTTATGTCCTTGAGGGGCTTAATTCAATACTAGAGGTCGTCCAGTGGTCGAAAACTCGACCACAAAATATGTAGGTCAACAGCTGTATTTTTTAGCTAGAAGCGGTTAAGGTATGTTGGAATATCTATGAGGATGAACCTTTTTGGCTGTAGTGAGTGTAATCATGTATTCAATATTCACATGTCAATTTTTGAGGTTAAATCAAAATAAACAAACTGGAATGTTGTCAATTAATTAGGGACAATGTTGTATTACTTACGAAAGAATGTTCACTTTTAGGATCAAATAAACTAATTTAGTATATGTCATTGTCTGATTTATTTGAAAACATTCAGTATTTAGGCTACTGCATTTTATAAACCAAACTCAAATCTTGCTTCCTTGGCCTATCGTATAACGTTTTCCTGTTTGGTACCTGGTAAACTTCAGATTGCATAAGTGAATTATTAGCAATACAATTTAGTTGTTAATTAAATGGGTCAAAATTCAAAACATTAGTCTATAAAAGTTAATCTCGTCATCTCGAGAGTATATAATTCGGACCCCTAACTTGAAACCCTTAAAAGGGTCTTAAGATATTTCCAAACAAAACGTAAATCATCATTATGTCCCAACAGTTTATTATGTGTATCCCAGGGACAGCAACTTTATTATTCTATTAATATAATAATCAACATCAATTTTGCAAGAAGATTCAATATTTCAATATTTGCTCATGTTAAATTAATTATTTTCAAAGCAATCATCACTTAATTCGAAGAAAATAATAAAATAACAATTTATTTATTAGTTGATTTGGAATTACGATTCAGGTCTCTATTTAACAGTAAATATTCTCTAATGATCCAAGTGATTTTATTAAAGTAGAGTAAGTATATTTAACTATTGTCAATAAAAAGAATACATTATGCCAGTTTGTTTGTTTTGATTTAACCTCAAAATTTAACATGTATGAACACATGATCGCACTAAAAAGGTTCATCTTCAAAGATATTGCACCGCACCTTAAAAGTGCATGCACAGACTTCTCTATTTTTCACCACACACTGTAAATAAAACATGTGATTGGAATTGCTTACATTTGTTTTGATTTTCTCTTTCTGTTTATATTTCGTTGTTCTTTTGTCACCAGCATGGCAACCTATAAAGTCCATGTTAATTTTTTAAAGTTTCAAATTAATTTTTTGTGCTTATTTTTAAGCCTATTTTAATTTTTAAAGGGATTATGCACATCTACAGGAAAATATCTTTCTAACAGTATGCGTAAATTTTCCCTGCGATGCACAAAAGCTGAGAAAAAAGGTTTTAAAGAAACATTCTTGCCTATTAATACATAGATAAATAGATAGATTAGGGTAGTGTACATTGTTTTGCGGTAAAAGACTCTACGTTTTTAATAGTCGTATTCATGACCCTTGCTTAGTAATACACCCCAAGTGTATTTATAGCCTAATCAATGCTAAATAGTATTCGTTAGAATGTTCTTTTCTTTTGTACTGTATATAGTAATTTGCTTCTGTACTGTAGACAATTTGTTACTAGCATAATATTACAATTTATTTATTTACATTTTCTTAAATCTGCTGTAGCTACTTGAAAATCCATAAGACTAATGTTTAAATATTGAAATTTCATTTTGAATTTGTAACGAAAAACAAATTTTCCTAGGACAGAGCCTAGGAATAGGTTTGATATTCTAACAAATTGGAGGAAATCGTAGGAGCCGTTTTTGAAATCATTGTGCACAAACGTTACTCATATTATAGTATAGATACTAGATTTGCTGTTACAAGGAATGTCATCAAATGTGTTTTTATTAAAATACTAGCTGTGTACCCGTTCTACGCACGGGGATCTTATAATATTCAGTTGAAACCTTCTTATATAACGAACAGCAGTTGGTTTGCATATTTTAAGATATGCTGGCCAAACTATTATACATAGCTTCATTTTATGTTGTTTTTTGTTGTTCCGGATCGGTATGACAATCAATAAAAGGTTAAATTACCTCTGTGTCTGCCGGTCGATCCTATAACGGTAGGCTTACTTTTATTTTTACTATCTGATCTCGTTTGCATGGCTCAATCACGTCCTGGTTGAAGTTCGTTCGCTACGCTCACTCACCTGTATGTTGGAGCTCGTTCGCTGCGCTCACTTTCCTTCAGGTTAGCTCGTTCGCTACGCTCACTTGCCTTCAGGTTAGCTCGTTCGCTACGCTCACTCGCCTCCAGGTTGCAAATTAGCTGTTGTCATAAATGTAAAAGAAATAATAGTGCTAGTGCTGCACCCTGTTGGTAATCCTTGTAACTTTAATGCTATTGAACATCACAGAACAGAACCAACTTGTTTAATTGAAACAGCTGTTAAGATTCAATAATTTCATTTCTCATAAGGTTAACATGGGCTTCCAGAAATTCCACGTCAAAAATCGACAAAAACTTGATTTTCAAGGGTTTACTGTTAAATATCTAACTGTCTCATATTCGATGAAATACGTCTAAAACCATCTCATATATGTATAGTATTTGGAAAATAAGTTTCAGGCGGGACAGTGCTATAGTTATTGAGGAGTAGTTGTAATAAAGTGCGTATTTTAGCGTTACCAAGAGAATGACAGATAGACAGACAGACAGACAGACAGACAGACAGACAGAAATTGAGATAAGGTTTGATTCGGTTTCTCTGACCTATGAAATGTAAAAATAACCAAAAAGTTCATTATTCTAAGCAATGTACAGACAAAACTCTAATTTTATTTATATAGATTAATAGCTTAACATGATATAAATAAATAAACTAAATTTGATTACAATATATCCGAACAAGTTAAATACAACAGTTTACTAATCCTCCATGAGATTAAAATTTCAAACTTATAGTTTGTTGGGGTTTCTCCGTAACCTTAAGACATAAAAAAAATATTTATTATACTTACAGAATTTATTTTTAATATCTACTAAATGGTTTGGAAGAAAACTACAATTTTACATTTTAAGGCCAAAAATGGGGAAAAATAATTTTTACTCCATAAAACCTCTTTCTTTTAGTCAGATCGTGCTGGTTCACGAAGTTGTACCAAATTTGATTTAAATTGGATGATTTTTAACCCAAGTTATTGTTCAATGCACTTATCTATAAATTTATTACATTAACAAGGGGTTTCTCTGTAACATCCCTTTTTAATCCATCCTATTTAACCGATTGTTATGACTGATGTTTAATTTTAAAGCTTATGATCTACCGGAGGGGCAAATGGCAACTAAACTTTAAACAGGCAATTTCCTTAAGGGCATCATCTCTCATTGTTTGTTTATTTATAGGATTCGCTTTGAAATATCCAGTGATGCTGACTTTTTTACAGTGTTTTAAAAGTGAATTGTAATTGTAAATTGTACAGCTAATTCGGTAGTTTTGTTTTACGTTTTTTGTTAAGTCTTTTTAACCTTGTATTCTGTTTTGATTTCTTTTTGGAATAATGCAATGCAAATAAACATCCTGGAAGTGTTAAAAATCAAGTAAAAATTTCAACCTGTAGTTTTTCATGTGGGTACACAACACAATAATAAAAAAAAAAAGATTTATTACAAGTTTTACAAGATTTCTTGTCCACGCTTATATACATTTACATTACATTGTTCGAAAATATGTGATAAGTCAATAATGAATATATTGTACAGTATAAATTATGGTTAAGTTCTAAAACTAGGCATTTATCCACTCTTAAAATCCATACTTTGCTTGAGTCTGTTTTCTAGACATTCTGTTGTTTGCCCATTGGTTTTTCAATTCCAACTCGTTTTCTTTGGCCTGAAAAAATATCACAATTATGATCAAATACAGTAATAAAAAATGCATAGTTAGGAAAAACAAAAAAAATTGAATTAATATTAATTTTATACCTTTTGCGAGATTGACTTATGTTCTAAAGTTAATTTCACTTTTAATTTTAACAAGAAACCCTTTTATAAGTAATATATTATCAAATTCAGATGGCAAAGCAAAGGCAACCAATCTTAGACCACAATCATCCAATGATAATTACATCATGGCGTCAGTCGAGTTCTAATCCAGGTATGTTTAGAAATGCTATTTTCACCTGTGATTCTCCATTCATTACTTTACTAGTGCACCTGTTGCTCGAATTCGAGCAATGGCCAAGAATTACAGGCGTTGTTTAAAAACGAATAACAGTCATAATTTCTGATAACTTTAAAAGAGTCAACGATTATGGAAATATTCTTAATGTACATAACAGTTCTATATAATCAACATTTCTTGTAAATATCTTATCATTTTTCAAAAGCTGATCTTGTTTTTTAGTATTTTCTTCAAATGTTTCCCACTCATAGCCGCATTAGGTTATTGGCAGACTGACTTTAATGATACGTCAAGGTTTGTTCATTGATACTAAAGGCTGTTTACAGTTTGGGTGATATGGGATTGAGGAATTGGTTGCAACTGAACTGTCTAATATGCTAATGTCTAAAATGTGTTTTTATTTGTGAGTGGTATAAATAGCATTTTACTCAGAATCATTCTTTGGAAACTACTAGAAGCAAATTTGTTTAGTTAAAACTAACATAATTTTGCTTGAAAAAAGAACACTGTCCAATGAAACATCAATTTTGCTAGCCTAAAATTATATTTCATATCTTAGTTTTTGTTTAAGGGTAGATCCAACCTAGCGTACTCCAAACTCCTTGCTTAATCCGACCGTGCCATCGCATATCGATAATTTTATCATGGTAATATCGTGACCATTCCCCATAGTCTTGTGAACATCATCACCGTCTTCCGCAACCACAGCAAAAATTTTGCCCCCCTCCCTTCTTTCGTGGTCACGGAAACTTTCAATTCAGTCGTCATCCCCCAATATCGCGGCTAAATCTAGGACATCTCCTGTGGTAACGCAAACATTATCATAGTCTATCACAACCCTAGCAAAATATTAATGCCTTCCGCGGGCATGGGAACATCATTATCGTCTCAACCGATCGCGGCAAAATATTGAACATCTTCCTAGCTCAAGGAAATTTTATCGATGTTATCTTTTTTTGTTATGTTTGGTTTTTTTTGTTAGGGTTTATCCAAATTTTTCACTGGTTCGGCCAAGGTCCAGTACAGTAGATGACGTATTAGCGGGGATGTTCTGTACTATGATAACTGTAATAGGTTAAAAAATGTGGGTGATCAACAGAGGATCAGTAATATTACTTGAGCTTATTCTTTCCGTGGCTCAATTTAGTTTTATATGCATTTTAATTTTATGAATTATAAAAGAGGCTACGAGGGAATGGAGTTCTATACTTAGTAAAAGCTGTAATAAACCCTCCAGATTTCATTAATAGTACACACCTGGTAGGCAAGGTAAGTGATCTGGTGTTTGCGTTTCTGCTGGGACGTCGGTCCGTCCTTCCGCTTGTGGCTGGGCCGATGCACCACCTCCTCTGTCAGCTGTTTGGTTAGCCACTCCCTGCTGTCGGGCATGATCTTGTCCCCACTCACATCAATCAGGTTAACCTCCTGCATCTTGATCCTGTCTCGTCGGCCGCACAGTTGCTGCATCTATAATCAGTTGTGGTTAGTAACTTGAACTGTATGGATAGCGTGAGGAGGGATTGAACAACCAATGATATGTTTCTATTCAAAGGTTACTTGTGAAATTTTAGGATAGGGTCTCCATCTTTTGTGAAGTTGATTTTTAGGCCTCATTGACAAATGGAGTAGCACACAAACACAAGCATCTGTAGCAACACTGTGTTGATGTAGTAGGTTAAGATTTGGGACTCAATGAAAGAAAAACAGAAGTAAATAAAACAAAGCGGTTCAAGATTAACTATGAAGATTTATCAAAGTATCTACAGAACAAATAAGTTAAATCGTTAAGTGTATGATTTGTAATTAATTGAATATAAAAAAAAAATGTTAAACCAAATATTTGAGAACATGTGATTTCTGTTTTTCTAACAGGGTTTGGATAATTTTGAACCTCTTTTGGGATAGGAATCGGTGGATAGTCATGGTTTTGCCATCGTCATAGGAGATTCTGGAATCGCTAATAAATCCAAACTAACTAAGGACACAAAGTATTGAGAAATTAAAACTCTTCGTCCAGGTTAGATTGATTTAATTGGTGAAAGTTTTGAGGAAAATGGAATGTAGGAATATGTAGCCTGTGTCAAAACCTTAAGGAGCATGTGAAATGTCCATACTCTTCAGGTTTGACCGGTTACGTCCAAGTTCTGGTAACCAAATGAAGATGAAGTATCCAATACACTATACTACAGTGTGTGTGTATTGAACCGTCTCCATTATCCAGATTTGTATACAAATCGGGGTCAATAAATAAATAGTTAAAGTGGTTTAGATACCAGCATTTAAGTAATCCAATTCGTTGCTTTTGTTGCAACCGGTTTCAACTCTGGAGTCATTTTCAGGCTCCCAAGGATATAAGTTATCACTTCATTTGAAGGTCGTCATAGTTTTAAAAAAACGAATAAACACTTATCACTTATCATTTAAAAAACACACAAAATTACTGAGAAGGTGAACGACGCGTACCGGCCGGATGTAAAGTCCAAACTACCGTGGTTGTGCGTAGGTCTAATGGTCAATGCCGATCATCGCATTCCCTTCTACCTTCTCCCTCATCCATTATTATGATTGCTGTATTGTAAATAAAATTAGACTGAAATGAATGTTTGTCGTTCAGCACGTTCTCTTTGTTAGATCTTACAGCTCTGTAAATCTCAAATTCCTCAAGGCCTAACGTATTTCTATAAAAACGATCTTGCAAAAAATGTCAAATGTCCATATTGTTGTCCATACTTGTAAAATTATGATTATTTGATACTAGGTGATCGGCAAAATTTGAAGACTGAGGGGATTTTGTTTTTTTGGCCGATGTAGTACTTTGTACAATTATTACAGTTGAACTTGTAAACACCGTTCTTATCATACATTGTTATGCTTTCTCGTAGGCGTTCTTTCAGTAATGAATTAAGTTTATTGGTAGTTATGAACGAAACTGTTACTAGCCATCAAATTACTAAGTGTCTGGTTTTTTATTTGTGTGTTTAGAAATTAACTTGTCAATTAAAGAGTTGGTATAACCATTTGCAACTGCAATGTGCTTAATTATGTTAACTTATTTGTTGTTATCACATTACTCCATTAGTAGGTAGGTACGGACAACACCCTATGAATGAAACTTTTTAAGCTGCGAGGATGGTGTGATTCTGCATGTAAGGTCTGGTCCTTCAAATGAAATGACAACTTATATCCTTGGGAGCCTAAAGATGACTCCACAGAGTTGAAAACGGTTGCAACATAAGCAACGAATTGGATTACTTAAATGTAGGTATCCAAACGACTTTAATTATTATACAGTAATCCATATGCTAACATCCATCAATATGAAATTAATAAATAATTTTAGTAAACTTTTTCACATAAAAGTTTGTATGGAATATTGTAATTCATTACTTGTACCGAAGTGGACACTCAAGTTTCAAGTGTAAGGCAACATTGCTGTTGGATACGAGGGTGATCAGAGGTTTGTCTCGAACTTAAAAACTATCTCGAGCTACCTCCTAATACTTTTTAATTTTTAAAATGCTTTACTAATATAAAGCTTGTTATTTGTTTACGTATACTTTTAATTTCAATAATAGTTGTTAGTACCAGATAAACTGCATTGGCACAGAGGCAATGTGTATTTGTGCAAACGTACATGAGTCACCCTCCACTACCTCTTCACGAACCTCTAGTCCGGCTCCTAGACTATGCTCGATATAAATCGAGATTTTGGCAGTCTGGAAAACGTATTTAGCCGCGATATCATCCGCGATAAATGATAAAATGTAACTGAATGGCTTAAGCTATGGTTCCACAGGATGCGGAATCTCCGCCATGCGGTGCGTAATTTTTCGCAGCGGAAAATTACGCAGCGAAAAATCAAAGGGGTGGTTCTACAGACTGCAGAAATAACGTTGCGGAGATTCAGTTCTATGCAAACTAGCGACGGAGTATGGATAGAAAGAGGAAAGCCCTTTTGGCTTTGATGTTATATGATGACATTGATGATGATGTTGTCGATCTTTTATCTTTGTTAGTGTCAAGTCGCAGTGACCGAAGTGACAAATTTAAGAATCGGGACAGTGAAGGGGCGTATGACATTCTGGTTCGTAATCATTTAGTTGACAACGAAATTAAGTACTTCCGTGTGTCAAAAGACCAATTTTTCTTTTTGGTTGATCTCATCAAAGATGACTTACCCACCAACGCTACTTATCGAGACAAACAACCATTGAATGCCGAGATTAAACTAGCGGTAACACTAAGGTATGTACCAATATTTAATATTTTTGCTATTTATTTAACGAAACTTATGGGTTTCAACCACGATCAGATCTCGTTCAACACTTGATACCCAAACATCTCAGGATAATTGTTCGTCAGGTCTACCATTTTCGACAGTTTATGTTAAATGCATTATAATAATTTATTTAAGCAGTTAGTTTGTTGAAAGTCGGTGTTGCGATTATAGGTATTACTTTATAATTGGCTCAAATGTTGTGTATAGGTAAACGTGACCTAAACAAACCATTACTTTTATCATTGAATGTATTCTGGTGTGATTGTGTGCATACGTCTTCGCTAATTTCTCAGAAACCCACTGACATGCGATTTCCACATCATGTTGAGAAACCAACTCGACAAGTTCTTCCTCTTCAGTCGAAGAAAAACGTTCATCTATAACTCTTTTTACAGCACAAGACATATTGAAACTGCACGGTCACAATATTTGATGGCTCTTCTCCGCTGGCGGAATCCGCACTGCTACTGCTCTCAGACCAGTATGATTTCTCCGCCATGCGGAACGGAAATTTCGGGATGCGGAATCGCAAGTCAGTGGAACCGCACACATGGGAACTCCATTAAACCAGTGTCGTTTTAATTCCGCAGCGGAAAAAATCGCACCGCACGGCGGAGATTCCGCATCCTGTGGAACCAGGCCTTTAACACACAGATACTATGATGACTGTGCTTTATTGTGAAGGTGAGGGAGACGAATCATGAAAATACCTAATAATTATAGACTACAACAGGTTTGTAGAAAAGTTAAAAGGTTATCATGCCTGTTTACTAGACATTTGATTTATCAATCTTTAGCCTTAACATGTTTAGCATTTGACACACCTTAGTCTATCTCTCTGATAATCTTGGTACAAATTATTGTATGTATATTGTTTTCCAGCATAACTAACGACATACAAACTTTTAGTTTTTTTTTTTTTTTACTTTTAGTCTTGATAGGCTACCTTAGGAAGACACATAAAATGTTTTGCCAATCTTAATTAAAAATCTTATACACAAGACCTACCGCTTGTTGATCCAGCTCCAAGTCGCTATTGCTGACGGTCATAAACTCAGAAGTAGAATACCCGAAGTCTGATTGCTGGGGATTCTCAGGTTGAACAAGGTAAGAACTCGAAGTACTAGCATTTGCAGCCTGCAGGTGTTGCCAGTCAGAAGACGATCTCGTACTGGAAGAAGCGTTTGCTTCAACCTCACCACTGGAAGTTGAGACCTCTGGAATATCAATGTTCACATCCACAGGAGTGACGTCTTTGTCTTTGCTCTCCAGCGAGAAAAAGTCAACTGTTCCAGAGACTTCTTCTTCATCGCCCGAATCTTCGTAGCTGATCAGAGTAGATGCTTTTGTAACAGGAATTTTAGACTTCTTCGCTGAAGCCACTGGTAATGACTTCTTAACAGCTGGAGTTGGTTTCCTGCTGACTGACTGAGGCACTAGAGAGCTCTTCGGGCTCGGCAGGAGTGCAAATAGTCCTGAACCTTTCTGTGACAAAATCAAAATAGGGATTAAAAAGATCAAGAGTTACGTAATTTAATTTACAAGCCTTAATGTGACTGATTTAACAGCAGATCTACTGAACATTCAAGCAGTGTAGAGTTGGTGGGCTTTTCAAATCTTGCTTTATACAGTAATCTCTTATTTTACAAATAGTAAAAAACTACACACAGTTTAGGATCCTTCACCTGCAGGATGGGCTGTCCATATGCCTAAATTAAGGTTTTCAAGGAGCCCCTATCACGGTGATGAGAGCTCAGTCCAATCTGAGACTTGTGCCATGTTCTTTACTTCTTCCACCAATATTCTTGCTCCTTCCCACCTTTTAAATATAAGTTACAAGACAATCAGTCTTGTCATAGTACCTACTGTACAAAAAAAAAAACAATGCGAGGACAAATTAAGACCAAATGGTTATAGTGCTCACTTTCAAATTTGGATGTTGCTAGTTCATTTCAATCTAATTGACAATGCATCTAACAAAAGGTCAACTTAAAGCAACTGGATTTGAACTGTATTAACAAAATTTACTTAAGACGGCGCTTCACAGAGTTACTTGAATACAACTAAAGAAAATTTCACCTACTCTTTTCTCATTAGAAACATAACACCAACAAGGAGAATAAATTAAATTTATAAAACCTACCATACTACAAACAAAAATCAAAAAAAAATTAAATAAACCTCATTGTACGTGTCAAAGTAAATGATCTATCAAGCTCTTACTTGAGAGGGCTTCAGCTTCTTCTTCGAAGGTGGCTCATCTTCGTCATTCACCTACAAAAACCAAAGAGATATTTGTAAAAACCTTATTGAAACAGATGTAGTAGGTGGTGAAAAGATGAATTTTTAATAGACTTACTTACTAGGCCTACAAAAAACTATTAGCCTATATAACATTTGCCTCCTAAAACAGTAAAATATAAGTAGTATAAACAGTACTTATTCATTTATCAAAGGCTATTGCAGTATGGCGAGCTATATTTTGGGTGTTAATAATAGGTAGTACCCCTTTGGGATCGCAGAAAATGTACTATAGGCATACCATGTTTAAGAGGATAAAGTACGTAGAACCCCCGTGCAGCTTAAAACTGCACAAGAAAAGTTGTCAGTGTTTTAGAGCATTTGCACTGAGGTTAAATGAGGGTTGCCATATGGTAACTTGTAAAAAAGAGATTTTTAGCCGGCGGCCCCATTACCTACTATAGTGGAGAAAATTGGATAATGTACCTACATAGCAAAAATATTATAACAAAAACGGTATGGGTCATACATAAACATGGCTCAAAAGTAAACACTCTACTTTTAATATTTAAATGGAACCGTCAAAAACATCTACAGTAAACCAGTTGTTACAGCTATTATACTCCGCGCCAAAGCCGGTGGCGGCTGAATCAAGAATCAAGAATCAAGAATTTATTATAACAAATTACAAAAAGAACATTTTGTATAGTTGAGGTCAATATGAGAGTAACTTAGGCTAAGAAGTCTCAGTAATCTGCAAGGATAAAATGTCCAGTGGTTAGCATTAGGGCCTATAACATTCAATAACTAGGCTACTTTAAATAATTTAAACAACAAAGTAAGTTACACAGGTTTAAGGCCTACATCAGTCAGAAACTAAAAACTAATATCAATGTCAGACATGAAAAATTCACTTAAACTATAAAAAGGGTGATTTAATAACCAGCAAAAAAGTTTACTTTTAAATAACTTAAGATCAACACAGTGTGCCTCAGCTGGCAAACGATTAAACATCTTTAACCCTATATAAGAAAAAGATTCTTGTGACTTTGTTAGCCTGACTAAAGGTAACTCTAAATTATTCCTATGTCTAGTAAAATAACTATGTGAATGAATGAATGAATGAATGAATGAATGAATGAATGAATGAATTCTTTATTATTTCAATACAGAACATCAGATTGAATGGTACATAAACGATTTATGAAATATGAATCCCCAAATGGGCTATATGCCTGTGGTTGGGGATTGAGTCAATCATCCGCACAAAAAACAATAATTTAGGCTACATTCAAAAAGGAAAATCTATATATATACATATTGTACACAGAATTAGTATACAAGAAAAAGATAAATAAGAAAAAAACTAGTTTACAAGATAAATATATACAAAACGATACAGTGTATGAAAAGTTGATGCACGCATATATCACGCGTTCAGTTTGCACGTTAAAATGTAGGAAATTATCCCATTAGAAATACACATAATTAGAATTAACCGAGACTTGGCACATGCATTCCACACACAAAGCCCTAACACATTCACACAGACCACTCATACCTCACAAACTCACAAAGAACCTACACTCACCACAAACATGCATTCACAGCCACTACCTTCCATAGTACCCGCCCCGGGATCCACAGGCGGCTGGTAGCTCTTATTAAAAAAACCGTCACTGCACTGTCCCTGTGGTCCAGCCTAACGGGGTACCCATGGCACACCACACACACACCCACCTCAAACTCACGCACACACACACAACACACACAAACATACACGCACGCAACGGCATAGATATACTGCAGTTGTTGATGAAATGATAGTAGTATCTATATGTAAATGGAGGTGAAATAGTTTCTTATTCTGTGACGGCCAACTTCTAGTAACCATTTATCAATAATTTTTTTGTATGTACGTAGACTGCAAGGAGGGGGGGATTTAATAATTAGTGGAAGTTGGGAATAAATTATGTTTGCAAGATAAAAAGACGAAGTGCTGTTTATTGATTTTGTTAATCTAGGAGTAATAATTCCATGATTAGTTGTTGATCTAGTATGGTATTGATGTGTAATATGTTGGAACAAGAACGTTTCATTTTTATGAATATACAGAATTATATTTTTTATAAAGAGTTGGGGTATATTAAGAACTTTGAATTCGTTGAACAAAATATTTGAGGGATAACGGCGATTTTTTTTTAGTGCTATCTTGATAATAGATTTTTGAATTATTTCAAGTGGCGATAAAACATTTTGATAACAACCACCCCAAGCTAAGATTCCATATTGCAATAGGGATTGTACATAGGCATAATACACAGTTCTAATCAAGTCGGGGGGAAGTATCCTGTTGATGCGTGAAAAGATAAAAGATACTTTGCGCAACTTATTTCTTACATAATTAATATGGCAATTCCATTTTAGGCGGTTGTCAAAGATGATACCCAGATATTTATATTCAGATACTCTCTCAATGCACTCACACATCACGCATTCATACAGCCTCGCACTTCCGCACGTGTGCAAACGCAGATGCAGGCCGACCGGGTCGTGGTCGGCTCTCACAGACACAGGCATATATTTGGTTTTGGATATGTTGACTGAGAGCCGACTCTGGTCGAACCACTGCTTGACAGTGCGAAGGCCCCGCTCAGCCACACGGTACACTTGCTCCCAGCTGTCGCCTTCAAAAAGTAAAACGGAATCGTCGGCATAAAGAAAAAGTTTTCCACCGTCCAATAAGACCCTACCTAGATTATTTATATAAATGAGGAACAACAGAGGTCCAAGCGAACTTCCTTGGAAAACCCCAAATTCGATCAATTGAGGTACACTGGAGTGGCCCAAAATTGACACAACTTGAAATCGATTACTAAAATAACTTCTAAACCACTCCAGTGCAGCCCCACGGACGCCTATTAAGCTTAATTTGTTCAATAAAATTTCCCTGTCAACTGTATCAAAAGCTTTGGCCAAATCTATAAAGACTAAAAGAGGTTTCTTATTTCTCCCAACTGCGTCATGAATATTTTTAGTGAGTAGAAAAAGGTCATCATTTAAATTTTTATCCCTCCTAAAGCCAAATTGGTTTTCAAATAAAATGTCGTTAACCATCAAATAATTTTCTAGCTGCTCCCTAACGCACTTTTCTAATAATTTAGACAACACACTAGTTAATGTAATTGGTCTGAAACTCACACATTGGTTTTTCTGTCCACTCTTGTAGATAGGAATTACTTTCCCTAATTTGAAAAAATCTGGGAAAACCCCAGATGTCAAACTCATATTTATAATATGAAGAAGTGGCGATTTAAGTATATTTATGTTTTGCTTTATTAATTTAGTTGGAATTCCATCTACACCTGGGGCAGAGCCACCTTTCATATTATTGACCAATTTTACTAAATCTACCTCTAAAATAGGCGTCAGCTGGAAGGTAGAGTCCGTCCGGTAATCCTCATCTCTCACGATAGGTTCTGACACAGGGGGGACAGAACTGGCTAAGTCGGCTCCTACATTGACATAATATTCGTTAAGAGTATTCGCAACTTCAATTATATCATCTGTGCCTGTACACTTCCTTTTACCTAGAAACTGGTTGATAGGGAAATCCTCCTTAATCTTTTTTGTACCCATAATTTCAGTAATATTGTTCCATAATTTTCTGTTGTCGTTCCTAGATTCACTTAATTTCCTGCGATAATAAAGAAGTTTAGCAGAAGCAATTATCTTACTAAGAGTGTTTCTGTATTTTTTAAAACGTAGTTTCAGAACTGCATTAAAGGGTTGATTTTTTAGACGTCTACTCATCCCATCTCTGACACGGATCGATCTGACAATACCAGACGTAATCCAAGGTTTTATTTTAAACTCCTTAGATGAAATTGTTTTCTTAGTAGTAGATATTGAAATAATTTCTTGTAACTTATGAGCAAAAAGATTACAACTATCATTGACGTCGTTTACATCCGTGATAACAGACCAATCCGTATCAGAGATAAGGCGGTTTGCAATAGAAAAATCTAAACACGTTTTCTCTGTTTTGGCTTGTAAATTAGGAGTGGCATCTGAGAAATCTTTCGGACCTTGTATTTGAACAACTGTGAAAAAATGGTCCGTTAGAGCACATTGAATAATTGCGGATTTAATGGAGTTAGTGTTTTTACAGTCGGTGAAAAAATGATCCAGACAGCTTTCTGTATCTTCTGTAACTCTGGTTGGCAAATTGATACAGCTAATAAAACCTGAACCATATAAAACATCTAAGTAGCGTTGTGAGAGATTGTCTACTTTATTTGGCAAAATGCAGCAGTTAATGTCGCCGACCAGCCAGTGTGTCCTATCCCTGGGTCTATTATCTAAGTAGGCTTCAAGGTCGTCGATAAAGAGAGATAGATCACTAGACGGACTCCTGTACACCGATAACAGGGAAAGCCGCGCATCGCCAAACAATACATCTACTTTAACACACGTTGCTCCAAACATACCAACCTCCTCCATGCACGCAGAAAAACACTTTTTCACGAATACAATCACACCATCATTACGATTTCTACTCTCTTTGTTCATAAACACGTTATAACCATCCATACTCACATTCGCACTAGATTCATCCACCCAAGTCTCAGTTAAAACAATTATATCAAAATGATATACATAACTATCTAAAATAATAATCAGCTCGTCTATATTTTTACTATAACTTCTAATATTTAGACTAAGAATCGTTAAACTATTTTTAATATCTACATTAAACTCACTGAAAAAACTAAATGTTGATATGTCTTCATATATGCGTGCATTAACATTTTGGTAAGAGATAATGTCGTCAAAAATTTCCTCCATGAAAAGAGACAAACCCACCTTCAGCCCATAGAAACTTCAGATAAAAAAAAAGATTACTTAGAATCCTACTCTTATTTCAAATGATTAGTATCTACAGAATAAGAATCAGAGAAATACGTTTTTAGTTAATTTAAAACATATATATTCCTGAAAATACACCATGGTGCATTCTGTATGGCAAATAAAAAGTGAAAATAAAAATTACATGCTTGTGAAAACAACTAAAAACAATTTACTCACAAATAGTGCCCAATACTTATTCTCTTTATTTGTGTTTTGTTTCAAAGATTGTGACCCCTAACTAAAAATATTTACTTCGTGAATTGAAACTGTGCTTTACATAAGCCCACTACTCACTGGCATGGTATACCTTATTTATAGGTAAATACAAATGTAAACAAAAGACCCCTAGTATTAAGTATAGTATTCCTGGTGCTAAAGAAATGAGTAGATTCATTCCCTCCAAAATAAAAATAAATCGTTTTATTATTAGAATATGAATTGAGTTAAAATACATTTACTTAAGTTGGTGAGCTTAGACGAATAGATAAATTTTACACTAATTCAGATTTAAAAGAAATGGCTACAGGGAAAAATGAAAAAATTGATCATGATGATAAGATTACGTGACTAGTAGTACAGTACTTGGATTGAACATATTAACACGGTATTGTTGTAAAATGAAATAAGAAAAAATGTGTATTTAGTTGCCTAACATACTAGTAACTACTGCTGGTAGTTTATATAAACTAGTAAAAACGAAAAGTACATTATAAAAAACATTAAAAATAATACCTAGGAGGCTTAATCCATACTGTGTTGAAATCTACTGCTCCGGGTTCCTAGCCGCTGTTTGGTTTCTCAGTTGCCGCTGCTGGTTTCTCCGTTGCCGCTGTGGGTTCTCCGTTGCCGCTGACCACGGACTCGTCGCCCCCGCCAAGAGCTGGACCTGCGAACTCATCCACTTCACTGTTGTCCCTGATTGTCTTGACAGGTCCATCTGGTGTCTTCCTAATCTTGATCCTCCCCTCCTTTGACCAAGCGTAGGCGAGACGACCTTCTTTGACAAAAGTTTTAGCATATCCCAGGAGTCGACGATTCCGAGGTGTAAGATGGTCGATGAGCAGGACTGGAGATGGTCGAAGAGATGCTGCAACATCTGTCGTTTGGATCGGGTTATCTCTGGCGGCCTCCATCCACTCAGCTCTAGTCGATCTGGACACAAATTGGGCGACGATTGAGGGGGGAAATGATTTCTTCCTAGGTGCGGGCAGACGATGGGCGATTGAGATGTCACCTCTATTGAAAGTTATTCCTAAGGCTCTTGCTATGCTTTCCAAGATCAAATAAACGTTTTCATTCTTAGTAAGAGGGATGCCCCTTATTTCAATGTTTCGGTTTCTAGAGTACTGCTTGAGGTCCTCGATCTCCATTTCAAGGCTGTTAGCTTTTTCCCGAAGGATAACATTTTCTTCCTTTAAATGTCCTAAGTCCTGTTTTAGAGACGCGTTCTCCCTCTCTACTACTAAAATTTTATCCTTGAGCTCATTCAGGGTTTGGTTCATATTGTTCAACTGCTGATTAACGGTATTAAAATTCTGGTTACTTGAATCCTGATTCGCAGCCATATCCCGTTGTATAGCACGGAGAATATCACATATCTTACTGTCCTCAGAGTCTGACTTACCACTCGCAGCAGACGCAGTCTCCTGGCCGCAGCCGTCGCACTTCCACGTGGCCAGAGCCTGCGGCGACATGGCCGATAACTTTGCCACAGTTCGTATACGACTACACGTAACATGGAAGGTCGAGGAGCACTCCACGCACTTCACAGTGTTTTTTGAATTTGCAACATCACGTCCACACTTAGAACAGTCCATTTTGGATTAGGTTAAACAGCAAGGTCCTAATAAAAAATAAGAACTAATAGCAAGAAAAGATTTCCCGCACAAAATGGATAACGAAAAAGTTCACTATAGGTTTGACACAAATAAAGCGTATAGAGGGTAATTATTTGACACCAACTGTATGTAAAAAAGTCCTTTAGCGTGATAGGAGGCAGGATTACACGGGCAGACCGGCGGGCTTGCACAAACACGGGCGTTCACCGCATCGACCTTTCCTCCTTGGCGGACTGATAACGACTTGAATGTGATCTCAAGGCTACAGCATTAATATTAATAGGCCTATTAACTTTTACATAAACAAGACACACATAAATAAATAAATTAAAAACTGTGAGTATTTTTTCCTGAATAAACAAGGGTTTGCAATGGGCTCTGTACTTAGAAAAAGTAATGATTCTTAAAGCCTCCTTTTGTAGGAGCAAGATTCTGCTAACATCATGACCACAGCCCCACAGCAAAATACCGTAGCTTAAAATACTTAACGGTTTTGCTAAGTGCTGTTACTCATCGGTTTTGCTGAGGGATTAGGACAACCAGGTCGGTGAGCAGGTCCGACCTATGTAGTCCTACCTGGCGGTCCTAATCCCTCAGCCGCCACCAGCTTTGGCGTGGAGTATAGTATAGGCATTGGGCCAGTGGCCTAATCTGTTTATGTTTATTAACCGTTTCTGTTCAATATTTGTGTGCTGCATTGCCAATACTCAAATATGGTATGCGAAAGCATAAAATGTTGCATCTTGCTGTTCACATCTCACGAAAAATAACGAATGATTGAATAACGTAAACAAAATGCTCCCTGTCTGCAAGGCTTTGGTAGTAAACTTGGATACCTTTGGACTGGACGGCAGACACAAATTGGGGGACTGGGACTGGGAGCAATGAAACAGACGATAAAGATAAACTAAGGACGTTGCTGCCCAAAGTGAAACCAATGAAAAAAAAAAACTTTAGTTACCAGTGCTGTTATAAAAATGAGGAGATGTCTCACTTTTTGCAGAAATTCCCCGGAGCTAAATTTTGAACATAAAAATCCTGTAATCTCCGGGAAAACCCGGGGATATGGCAACCCTAGGTAAAATGCATTATACAAATCAATTAATCTCCATACCTTTTATAGTAGAGAGTCGATTAAGTTATTCAAAACAATTGAGAATTGAGGCTGTTGAAATAAATTGACAGGAAAAATTAGATAGGCCTAGGCCAAAAATATTTTCAAATTATTCAAAATTTAAATTTTGCTTATTATAGCCTACAAGTTTCAATGTAGGCTACTTTTTACTTGTTTTAATTGTCTCCTACAATCGAGACAATAACAGGACTTAGCAAATTCTGCATTCTCAGGTACAGCAGTGTTAGTCTCCCACAAACGGAACAACGTCTGTTAGGACATCTTGCAATCTTGACAACACAGTGATCACCTCATGAACACAGAATTATCATAAGCAATCAGAATCAGAATCATTTAGACTCAGAATCATTTCAGAAGAAGAATAATTCCATTTAGAATTATAATCAATAGGTACCTAGTTAGGCCTAGGTGATTTGGTATGCATGTCAATTTAATTTTTTTCTAGGTTTCTTCCTTTTGGTTAAAGAATGACTTCGATGACCCGGCTTCAAAGAACACTCTACTGTAGCCTAAGTTAATATAACTTGACAATAATTTAATCTACCTGCAGGTAACTTAATGATAATTTTTACCTACCTCATTCAGAGAGGGAATGGTGATTTTGACAGGGCCTCCTTTTCTTGAAATACTTGTTAAACACTTTATGTCAATGTCAGTGTTTATCAAACTTAACTTTGATTCTGGTAAATGTAAGTTTGCAGGTTTGTTAAAACTCTTTGACTCAACTTCTTCATCGCTAAAATGTGCAGTGCCATTGACACCAGTTGTCGATTCTAATTCTTCATCACTGATGTGCCCAGACTCGATAACTGACGTTGGTTTCTTTGTGAGTTCTGTTTTTTTCTGAGGATCGGGGACAGCAATTGTTTGGGTTGGCTCAGTATCTGACTCATTTTCACTTTCCTCACTGTCGTCGTATGCTACCAGTCCAAGAGACATGTTTCTTTATGTTACAGCTTAGCTGAAATTTAAAATAGGCCCAACTTAGTCTACTTAAGTTAAACATAGGCTAGGACTACTAAGTTTGAACTAGCCTCTTAATTTACAGAATGTAACGTAAGGTAACTTACAGCTATGACTTAATTTTTAAACAGATTAGTTATGGCTCCTGAATTAGCCTAGGTGGTACACGTCTAGTTTGTGTTTGAGGCGTAGAACTGGTTTAAATTTCTATGGTTGTGGCCACCTTTCAGAAAAAACCCCTGATCTTGTCTTCTTAAGCCATTTTAAGACATTGATGCCATCTTACGAGCGTTACTCATACAGCCTCTGCAGGCCCGGCGGATACCTTCTTATCCAAATCTAAGTTAAGTGTAGCCAAGGCCTATATTAAGCCATCGAACTAATGTAAAAATGTTATTGATAACGTTCAATGGAGTCTAACTTACCTAGCCTCAAAGACATTTTTTTAATTTATGAATTAGGCCTATTGCAGGTTTAGGTTTGGGCTCAACTAAGTTACTTAAGTTAGGCTAACTTAATTTTGTCGCAGAGGATACGTGTCTGGTAACCGAACGTGGATTAAGTTAGGCATCCGGCAGTTACTCTCATAACCTAAACTAACCAAGCAAATTTGCTGATACCGTAACTTAATTAAAAAATCAAATGAAGGTTAGGCCTAGGCCTAACTTAAATTCTTTTCATAAAAATAAATTACCTATAAGATGCCAAAAATTCTAACAAAAGATGTACAGTTTAAGTTACTTAAGAAGAAATGGCATTCAATGCAAAATCTTTGACAAAAAGTTAAAGTTAACTTATGCCTACCCATGGGACTCGAACCAGGGACCTCTTGCATATCAGCCGAGCACTCTTTCCACTAAGTTACTTACACCACGAACACCAATGGCTGTACATCGTAAAATTGTGGTAATGGCATTCCGGGCCCCAACAACCTGGTGACGTCACTGCCGGACGCCTAATCGACGTCGGGTTACCGGACGCGTGTGTAAATTTTTCCTTTAGCCTACCTTAACTTAAATCTTTGCATTACTTATTTATTTTAGGTGAAAATATAGGTACCTAGTTTATAAATAGTGATATTATCTAGGCCTAGGCCTACACTACTTTCTTCTCAATAACTAGCCTAAATTGCCTAGCCTACCTAATGGTAGTGAATAGGCATACTCTTTCATAGTAACTTACACCATTTTAACACTAAATAAGTTAGCCTAGCTTAATAAATTAGGCTTAGATAATTAAGATATTTTAAGTAGCCTCAGTACTTAACTTACTGTTGAGTTGGTTTGCCTTTATAATGTTGGTTTATGAGATGGTTCACGACAATACATCATTCATTTTATTTCATAATGAAAATGAACTAACTTCTTAATGGTCAAATACTCAAATAAATGTTCTAATTTATTTTAATTCAGATTCCTAAATCCTAACCTGACCTGATTCATAGACTAAACCATGACAAACAAACAAAAATGAAATGACAAATGACATTGACAATAACAATCCGATTTGGATAGCGCTGGGTTCACGGAATGGGCACACGGGAGGGACTAAGGCTAAAGGTGTAGTGACGTCATATCTCTAGTGGCTAATGTCTACTCTTGAGGCAACACGATTACCGTAACGAAACGATGTGATGTCAGCGGCATTCGTGGCATAGTTTTCATCTTCTCAAAATAGAGCTTTTTCAGTTCCGCCACAAACTGGGAACGTTTTTCAAGGGTCTTAATGTGTAGGTGTAGGCCAATCCACAGACGACAAGCGGTAACAACAATAGCCCTGCCATAAGCTGTGGTCACATGATGAGGTATACCACGGCCGCCTTCAACTACAGGCCGCGGCCTGGTAGAATTGGCAACATTGCAAGTGGTGTTGTTTAGTGACAGACGTCCCATTAAATAACATGGCAGGAAGGTGACATCAGCTCATTAATTCACACTTTATTGATTTAATTTTTAATTTATGAACATAAATTTATTAAAATATTGAAAATAAAACATACAGAATTGAAAATTGAAACAATATGAATTAAAATCTATATTTATGCATTTTTAAGCGGAGTCAATATTGTCATAGTCCAGTAATCAATCTTTTGTAAATACACAAATACCATTAGTTGCTTCCAAAAAAATCAGCTGTTACAACACCACTTGCGATGTTGCCAGTTCGAAGGCCGCGGCCTGGAGTTAAAGGCGGCTGTGGGTATACGCAATGTGATAGAAGAATAACGAGACATTCGTGAACTACCCTTAGACTCAAATTTAAAATCGGATTTGAAATATTTTGTGGAGCCTGTTTTCAAAACTATGTGTGAAAATATGTGTGATGCAGCATTGCTAACGCTAACACAACTACTCACAGCGCCAGCGACCCCGTCACAAAAAACTGCGTCATTGCATCGATGGTCGGTGACTGCCACCGTGCATTATTTCAGCGACTCATAACTCGTAGCTGGCCATTATAATATAAGTGAAGCCTTCACTTATTCAGGTGGCTGCAATCTAGTTCTTGGCAATGCGCGATAAGCTTTTTCTTCCTTCCCTGTCAAACCCGTCTGTCACTGTTGGTGAAGCCCTCTTGTTCAAAGGTGTACACGAACCTGTGATACTTTTTGGTTCGTAACTGTTTGTTTTTAGTTAGTTAACGTAGAATTAATTAAATTTAGTTGCGAATTTACAATATTTTTCCCTAGGACGTTAGGCACGAGCCCCAGCCGCCTTTAACTCCCGAGCTCGGGATTGTTTTTTAAATTACTTCAGGCTAGACCTAAGGGTTAAGGTATCATCACTTAGATAAAATACATTGGTTATTTGGCCTGGGATTTGAACCCGGGACCTCAAGACCGAAGTCCCAAGCTCTATCACCAGACCAGCTCGTTCCACCTTAACAATATGGATGAATTACTCCTGCTTGTTAGCAATAATAGCCTATTTGGATGAATATGACAATTAATACATTTATGGAATAAGTAGGTACTAAAAAGCTAGATAATCAAAAGAAGAAAGGATCGAAAGGTCTTTCAGTCTTTGACGAGGAAAAAAGCAACAACAATTGATTCCATTTTAGCAAATGAATCATACGACACGAAACAGTGTACTTTTTTTCCGAGAAGGTCGCAAAGGTCGCAGCACTTGATGGCAAAATTGATTATACATCTCCCAAGCTGGCAGCTACCATGTGTGAAGGGACGTGCTTGGCTGCGAAGCTGCGACTTGTACAGGACGGTGATCCTATAGTAACTAGGTGGCGTTCGCAGAAGCATCCACAAAATTAAGCGGAGCCATCAAGGGTTCATATTATATTGTTTTTGTCGTACTGCAGTAAAAACAGTCGTTTTTAATGCATGCGTTGTGGGTCTAAAGTAGCATTTTTACTCTTTTGGGAGCAAAAATAGTTTTTAGCCTCTATGGAGTAAAAATCAGCTGTTGTAAATTTGTTGTAAATTTCAATTTCAAATGATTGCATGTATCGAAAATATGTATCGATTCGTGCTTCGTAATCATTTTAACCTACAGTCTACAGTCTCTTCCCATAGCATTTTAGCATTGCAGATACATTAATCCATTCCCACACTCACACTGCTCACCTTTACTACTTCTTTCACCACCCCCTACGTCGTGGACCTGTTTTCCTCTCTTCCCATAGCATTTTAGGATTGCAACTAAATTAATGTAATTGCCAAAGACAGTTCTACACTCTCCACTGTTAGCCTTACTACTTCCCATACACCATTTCCTACGTCATAGACCTGTTTCCTTCCCTTCTCATAGCATTTTAGGATTAAAGATACATTAATCTAACTGCCACAGACAGTTCTCACACTATGCTCACATTGACTACTTCCTTCACCACTTCCTACGAAACGGAACTGTTTCCCTCCCTTCCCTTAGCATCATTGGATTGCAAATACCTTAATGTATTGGTCATAAACAGATCCCACACTCCGGACAGCTGGCCTTGACTACTTCCTTCACCACTTCCTTCACCACTTCCTATATCGCGGACCTGTTTTCCTCCCTTCCCATAGCATCTTAGGATTGTAGATACCTCAATCTACTCGTCATGAACAGACCCCACACTCTGGACAGCTCGCCTTGACTACTTCCTTCACCACTTCCTACATCGCGGACCTGTTTCTTTCCTTTTCCTAAGCATTTTAGCATTGCAGATACCTTAATCTAATCGCCATTAACAGTTTCCACACTCCAGACTGCTCACCTTTACTACTTCCTTCACCACTTCCTACGTCACGGACCTCAAGCTAGTGTTCGTCATAAACAGTTCCTATACTCCGGTCAATTCGCCTTGACTACTTCCTTCACCACTTCCTACATCGCGGACCTGTTTTCCTCCCTTCCCATAGCATTTTAGGATTGTCGATACCTTAATCTAATCGTCATAAACAGTACCCACACTCCGACCAACTCGCCTTGACTACTTCCTTCACCAATTCCTACTTCACGGACCTGTTTCTCTCCCTTTCCATAGCATTTAAGGATTGCAGATACCTTAATCTAATTGTCATAAACAGTTCCTACACTCCGGACAGTTCGCCTTGACTACTTCCTTCACCACTTCCTACGTCGCAGACCTGTTTCCCTCCCTTCCCATAGCATCGTAGGATTGCAAATACCTTAATCTAATGGTCACAAAGCGATCCCACACCCCAAACAGCTAGCCTTTACTACTTCCTTCGCCACTTCCTACGTCGCAAACCTGCTTCCTTCCCTTCCAATAGCATTTTAGGATTGCAGATACCTTACTCTAATCGTCATAAACAATTTCCACACTCCAGACAGCTCGCCTTTACTACTCCCTTCACCACTCCTGCGTCGCGGACCTGTTTTCCTCCCTTTCCATAGAAATTTAGGAATGCAGATACCTTAATCTAATCGTCATTAACAGTTTGCACACTCCAGACTGCTCGCCTTTACTACTTCCTTCACCACTTCCTACGTCACGGACCTCAAGCTAGTGTTCGTCATAAACAGTTCCTATACTCCGGTCAGTTCGCCTTGACTACTTCCTTCACCACTTCCTACATCGCGGACCTGTTTTCCTCCCTTCCCATAGCATTTTAGGATTGTAGATACCTTAATCTAATCGTCATAAACAGTACCTACACTCCGACCAACTCGCCTTGACTACTTCCTTCGCCACTTCCTACTTCACGGACCTGTTTCTCTACCTTTCCATAGCATTTAAGGATTGCAGATACCTTAATTTAATCGTCATAAACAGTTCCAACACTCCGGACAGTTCGCCTTGACTACTTCCTTCACCACTTCCTACGTCGCGGACCTGTTTTCCTCCCTTCCCATAGCATTTTAGGATTGCAGATGCCTTAATCTAATCGTCACAAACAGTTCCCACAGTCCGGACTGCTTGCCTTTACTACTTCCTTCACCACTTTCTACGACACGTACCAGTTTCCCTCCCTTCCCATACCATCATAGGATTTGCAAATACCCTTATCTAATGGTCATAAACAGATCCCATCTCCCGAACAGCTCGCCTTTAATACTTCCTTTACCACTTCCTACGTCGTGGACCTGTTTCCTTCCCTTCCAATAGCATTTTATTATTGCAGATACTTTAATCTAATCGTCATAAACAGTTCCCACACTCCGAAGAGCTCACCTTGACTACTTCCTTCACCACTTCCTACGTCGCGGACCTGTTTTTCTCCCTTTCCATAGAAATTTAGGAATGCAGATACCTTAATCTAATCGTCATTAAAAGTTCCCACACTCCAGACTGCTCACCTTTACTACTTCCTTCACCACTTCCTACGTCACGGACCTCAAGCTAGTGTCGTCATTTGATTATATTTATGATCCATACCGTTTCTGTTCTAATATCTGTGTAATAATTCTATCAGCTTTTTCTTTATCTACTGCATTCAAAAGTCAACAGCTGATCATATGTCTTTGTTTATGTGTCAAATACTGCTTCCATAAGGATTATATTGAAACTTTGAGACCCAGTGGGGCGGATTCCTGAGAGTATCTTTTAACGCCATATAGATGTTGGCACTCGCCGATATGGTCTTTATCACCATGCAAAATTTGAAAACGATCGATTCAGCCGTCTAGGAGGAGTTTGCGTATTACGAAATGCATAAGAGTCGACGTATAAGAGCTTCGCTCGCTTCGCTCGCTTCGCTCGCTCCGCTCAATAAGAAATAAGAAGGCAGCATAACAATAAATAATTGTCCTCAGCTGTTCCGTTAGGGTGGCAAATTGACTAAAGGAAGTATGTTAAATCTATGACACATCGTCTCACAATATTAATTTCCTCATTCATTGCTATATCCATAAATATTTCTAGCCCAGTGACCAGTGTATACAATACATATTTTAAGGCTTCGACTATTAATACAACTTCAGTAGGCCTATCCAATAGTCAATATTTTAAAGGC